TAATAATAATAATATAATAATAATAATAATAATAATAATAATAATAATAATAATAATAATAATAATAATAATAATAATAATAATAATAATAATTATAATTATAATTATAATTATAATAATAATAATAATAATAATAATAATAATAATAATAATAATAATAATAATAATAATAATAATAATAATAATAATAATAATAACAATAATAATAATGATAACAACAACAACAGCAACGACAATAATAATAATAATAATAATAATAATAATAATAACAATAATAATAATAATAATAATAATAATAATAATAATAATAATAATGATAATAATAATTATGATAATATAACAATAATAATAATAATAATAATAATAATAATAATAATAATAGTAATACTACTACTACTAATAATAATGATAATGATAATAATAACAATAACAATAACAATAATAACATTGATGCAAATAGTAACTATACCAATACTAACATTATCACAACTAGTCTTACTATTACTACTACTTCTAAAGCTATCAATAACAATGAAAACAAGAACAATAGCTATAACACGATAATCCTGTTCACAATATCAACAAAAAGGATCATACTAATGAGGATGACAATTAATAGATTACTGGCAACAACAACATGAACAATTACAGCAACAAGTACACTGATAATGGTCATAAGGACGACGATAACAAATAATCGACAATACGGACGGCTAAACGAAAAAGGACAAAAAAACAACGACAGCAACATCAATAGGCCCAATAATGAAGGTAATAATAACATCAACAACAAAGGAAATGTTGATTTAATAGCTAGAGAATCAACAATAATGTCACTACTACTAGGTCTGCTATTTATCATGACAATAATGATCATATGAACAACAAATGCACTACTGCTGCTACTACTACTATCACTACTACTGCTGCTATTCTTCTTATTACTATTGCTACGACTATTACTAACACCAGTAATAGCAATAGCTAGCATGTTGCCATAATAATGATAATATGAGCAAAAACGCCAGGCAGAGTGGAGGCGGTAATAGCGATAATGACAATGACAATATTGTTGACGGCAGAAAGAAATATTGCAGACACAAGAGGCCCCATAAAGCGTTACATCAGAAGGACAGAGCCCGGACGATGCGTTACTCTGTCACATTGATTAAATGCCTCCTTTAATATGCATGCAAATCACTCGTGCAAAATTAAGGTTATTCAACCGTCACCTTAATAATTTCTCTAGGCAAAAAGTGTGTTAGTGAGGGTCCCTGGAGGGCACTGGGGGAGTGGGTTATGGTGCTTGGAGGGAGGAGGGGGGGAAGTGGGGGAGGGAAGGAAGAAGAGAGGTAGAGAAAGGAGGCAGGGAGACAGAGAGAGAGGGAGAGTGGGAGGAAGCGAACGAGGGCGAAATGAGGGAGAAAAGGAGGGATAAAAAAGGAGGGAGCGAAAGAAGGAAGGACAGAAATGACTTAGGAACGAGAGAGAGAGAGAGAGGAAACGAGGAAGGAGGGAGGAAGAAGGGGAAGAGACTACAGCTTAGGGTGAGTTTGCGGGCGGACGGGGACAGGGGGTGTAGGGAGAGCAGGCAGGTCAGAGGGCAGGGAGGGCGTAGGGTATGCGGGAAAGGAAGGGGGGAGGGGGGTGTAAAGGGTGAGGCAGGGATGGGCCGAGCGAGGGTGTGGCGGGATGGCCGTGTGTTGTGCGAATAGGTTAAGGGTGAAGCTGCATAGTGGACTAAAGTGTTAGAAGAAGATTTATGAATTATTTCACGGAGTGTGATAGGGTCTGAAACCCCAGTTATTTATTGCTTTGTTGTTTACTTCTGGAATGCAGAGGCCAATCAAAATCAAAACACGGGGGGAATATTGCACGCAGAAGGGAGAATGGGCTCGAAAAAGTGGCCATGACTATCATTTAATTATCAGTTCTGCACTTGCCATGCCCTGTATCTGTATAAATGTATACGTGTGAATTTTATCTTGCCACGAGGAGAATGAAAATTAACAGAAAGATGTTCCTCCTGCCTTCTCGATGTCGCTCACTCCCCAAACTTCCAAGATTATTATGTTTTCTTCCTCTTATCTGTCCCTCGTTTCTCATCGTCATTTTTATCTCCCTTCGCTTCTCTCCCCTGTCATCACATCTCTCGTCGTTCCCAAATACATTCTCTTCCACTCACCTCCCTTTTCAAAATGCCTTTCTCCCCTTTCTTTAATTCTCTCTTTTTTTCTCTCTCTCCTCTCCACCTCCTCTTCCTCCTCCTTCAATTTTCTCTTGTCTCTTTTGCCCTCCATATCTTCCTCCTTCTTCGTCCACTCTTTCTCTCTTTTCTCTTCTCTTCCTTCTCGCTTCATTCTCTTTTCACCTCCTTCCCTTCTTCTCCCTCTGCTTTTTTTCCTTCTTTTTTTCTATTACACTTCTCTACTCCCTCTCATTCTCTCTCTTCCCTTCCCTTCTCCCACCCACCCCTTTTCTCTCTGCTCCTTCTCTTCTCTCTTGCTAACTCCATTCCTCTCTCTTCCCCTCTTCTACTTTCTCTTCCTCTTTCTTTCTCTTCTCCTCCTCTATCTTTTACCATTTCCTCTCTCTTCTCTCCTCCTTCCCCCTTCCCTTTTCATTCCTCCTCTCCTCCTCTATCTTTTACCATTTCCTCTCTCTTCTCTCCTCCCTCCCCCTTCCCTTTTCATCCCTCCTCTCTTTTTCTCCTTTCGCACCTCTTTCCTCTCTCTCCTTTCTTTTCTCCCCCTTCCTCTTTTTCCCTCCCTCTTCCCCTCTCTCTCCTCTTCTCCTTCTTTCTCATTCCAACCCCTTTATTCAGCCCCTCTACTTTCTCTTTATCTATATACCCCTCTTTCTCGTTCCCCTTCTTCTTCTCCCGTTTCGTCTCCTCCTCTCTCTCACGCCCTCCCCCATTTCTCTTTTTCCTTCCACACACCTCTCTCTTCCCCGCCTCCTCATCTCTTCTCATTCCCCCCCCCAACCTCGTCTCTCTTCCCCCCCCCCCCTCTTTCTCCCAACACCCCATTTCTCGTCCTCCCTCCTCCTCTCGCTCCCTCCCCCCCTCCACCCCCTATCTTCCTCTCCCCATCCCTCTTTCTAATCCCCCCCTCCTCTGATCTCCCCCCCCCCCTCTGATCTCCCCCAGCCCCCCCCGCACCGCCGTCCATCCATCAGCTCATTCCTCGGTGCCGTTGCGTCCTCCTTGCAGCCTGTGTCTCGTGCAATCGGCCGGGCAGCAGAGGCGGCGGCAGTAACTCTTTGCATCGAACTTCGTGATTTAAGAGCTGTGACAATAAGCTTAACGAAGAAGAGGAAGACGAAGACGAAGAAGAAGAAGAAGAAGAAGAAGATGATGAAGAAGGAGAAACTTCACACGCGCCTTCGACTCGAGTTACATATATCTCTTGTAGTTTGTAAAAGGCCGCGGCGGAATGACGTCGCGAGAACCGAGATCCACTGAGTTACGCTGGAGTCTACGCCGCGTGGGCCAAGGGCATGGTGGGTTTAGGGGGGGGGGGGAGAAAAGAGGAACACTGAAATATGGATTTGGTATAGCTATATATGTATGCACCTCCCCCCCCCCCCACATATATATATGCACATATATATATATATATATATATATATATATATATATATATATATATATATATATGTGCATGTATATATATATATATATATATATATATATATATATATATATATATATATATATATATATATATGTGCATGTATATATATATATATATATATATATATATATATATATATATATATATATATATATATGTATATATATATATATATATATATATATATATATATATATATATATATATATATATATACATATACATATATATATATATATATATATATATATATATATATATATATATATATATATATACATATATATATATATATATATATATATATATATATATATATATATATATATATACATATATATATATATATATATATATATATATATATATATATATATATATATATATATATATATATATATATATATACTTACACATACGACTGCCGCGATAGCTCAGTGGTTAGAGCACTGGACTCCGACCCTCGTGGTCCAGGGTTCAATTCCCCGTCGCGGCAGTCGTAAAAATGCCTGTGCTCTGACTGCTCGCTCGGGCCTAAGAAAACGACATATCGCCTTGAGAAGTCAAACGCAGGTGTCGTAGGGGAAGTTACCGCCGTGGCACAAGTGTTAACGCGCCGAACTGCGGTTGATTAGGAAGGGCAGGCAAGGGTGACACTGTCATATAACCTGCAGTGGAATGAATGGCTGTTGAAAAAAAATACACACACACACACACACATATATATATAAATATGTGTGTGTGTGTGTGTGTGTGTGTGTGTGTATTCACTTATATATATGTATATATATATATAGACAATATATATATAAATGTGTATATATACATGTTCATCTATTATATCATATACATAAATCTATGTACATACTCACACACACATATATATGTATACATACATATAAACATACATACATAAATATAAATATATATTTTTTCTTTTTGTCTCCCTTGCATGATTGAATGCCCTTCCTAATCAACCGTGGTTCGGCGTGCTAACACCTGTGCCTTCTCAAGGTGATATGTCGTTTTCTCGCCGCGAGATCAGGCCAATAGTCGGAGCGCGGGCATTTTTACGACTGCCGCGACGAGGAATCGAACTTGGGATCATGAGGGTCCAGTGCGCTAACCACTGGCCCATCGCGGCAGTAATATACATACATATATATATATATATATATATATATATATATATATATATATATATATATATAAATATATATATATATATATATATATATATATATATATATATATATATATATATATGTGTGTGTGTGTGTGTGTGTGTGTGTGTGTGTGTGTGTGTGTGTGTGTGTAAAATATATACATATATGTATGTATATATACATACACACATATACACACACATATATATATGTGTGTGTGTGTATACATATATGTATGTATATGTATACATACACACATATATACACACACACATACATATGTGTGTGTGTGTATACATATATGTATGTACATA